GCTGGAGTGACTGATTTCGAGTCGCAACCGCGATTTTTCAAGGTAGGCTTTTGTGTAGATCGATCTTCTCGTCCAATGCAATTCCTCTACGCTGGCAGGAGAAGAGAAGCAATGTAATGTACGACCGTCTTCTTGCACTGGCGGCTCATTCTCTCGCAGAGGTAGAAGACTTTCCTCCCGGCGCTTACATTTTTACTTGCCTCGCAACTTTAGGCCGATTCCAGGAGTGAGCCTCACGATCTCTGGACAGAACCAGCTTCTGCGTGGAAACCCTGCGCTAATGTTCGTAGAGAAAACCACACTCGTAAGTTCCTCTCTTTCTCTCTTTCTCGCTTACTGTTTTCTTTTCCACAGACTAAACAATCGTGTATACAGTGCCGCCGGCACCCGAGAACAGCACGGGATACATTCTAATCAATGCGAACGGTGGTCTAAATCAACAGCGTGTTGCAGTAGGCTTGGTTTCATTCTTCCAACGTCAACTCTCTAAACATCTTTTTTGTACTCAGATATGCAATGCGGTTGCCATCTCTCGTCTCTTAAATGCTACGCTGGTGCTTCCGAGCTTTATGCTGAGCAACGTCTGGCAGGATGAAAGGTAACTGGGAAATCCTTTCTGTTGTAGTGTCACCTCGCTGAGTGTTTTCCGTTTCTTGTTTCTTTCAGTCAGTTTGGAGACATTTATCAGGAGGAGTACTTCGTTAATTATCTGAGAGAAGACGTGTACATAGTCAAGAGCCTACCGATCGAAATGCAGTCCCTGGATTTGCAAGCAATTGGCAGCTTTGTAAGCACTGCATTCTCTTTGTAAGTACATCTGCATCTCACAGGTTTATAGAGTTGTTGCATTATAGAGTTTCTTCCGGTTTGTGTTCATCTAACTTTGCCTCAACACAGTTATCGGAATTAGACGTGATGAAGGAGTCCAAGCCAGGTTTTTACATTCAGCGAGTCCTACCGATTCTACTGAGGAACCGAGTTGTTTATTTTTCCGGCTTCGGAAATAGATTATCATTCGATCCCATTCCTTTTGAGATACAGGTAAGGCTTTCTTTGCTTCTCTCTCTCTCTCTCTCTCTCTCTGTGTTTCGTTTCAGTAGTTCACTCATTTTCTTGTGTCTAGAGGTTGAGGTGCAGATGCAACTTTCATGCTTTGAGATTTACGCGAGAAATACAAGCTGCTGGGGACTTGCTGGTACAGAGAATACATCAAAACTTTCCCGGACAAGTTCCATCAGTGACGAGATATCTCGCATTGCATTTAAGGTTCGAGATTGACATGGTTGCCTACTCCATGTGTGACTTTGGTGGAGGAGAACCGGAAAAGCTCGAGCTTCAAGCCTACAGGGACGTTCACTTCCCAATGATGGCGAAGTATCATAATGAAACGTAAGACATATCATAACTCGGCCTTTCCTCTCTGTTCTAAGCGTCCATGGCAGGGAGCTAGCGAGTACTCTGAGAGAGCTGGGCCAGTGTCCCTTGTCTCCCGAGGAAGGAGCTTTAATTCTTGCCGCTCTCGGCTTCAAGCGAGGGACTCGTGTTTTTCTAGCAGGTGCTCAAATCTACGGTGGCCAATCCAGACTGACTCCATTGTCTACTTTATATCCGAACCTGGTGACGAAAGAAGATTTATTGTCCGAGAAGGAACTCTCGCCTTTTGCGAATCATTCATCACAGGTTCGTTTCTTTTGTACTTTTCTTTTCGGAGTGCTCCAGAGTTTTGTTGATCGTCGTGTTTGCTTCCACAGTTAGCCGCTCTAGATTTTATAGCCTGCACAGCAGCGGATGTGTTTGCAATGACGGACTCCGGGAGTCAATTGGCTTCTCTCGTGAGTGGCTATAGAATGTATTTTGGAGGTGGGAGACTGCCGATCATCCGGCCAAACAAGAAGCGCTTGGTGAGTCTTTTCGCGAAGAACTCGTCGATCCAGTGGGAAGAATTTCGGGAGAGAGTGAGGAAGACAATCCGAGAGAACAGAAAGGTCCACACGAGACCAACAGCGAGAAGCGTTTACAGGCACCCGCGCTGTGAAGATTGTATGTGCCAAGCGAAAGAGTAAAATTTTTAAACCCGAAGTATATTTTGGAATCAGGATATTCTTTGTTTGAATGGAGTATATGCTTCGCTTTTTAGCCGGGGATTGCTTGTTGTGTTCTAGGGTTCTTGGCGATGGATTGCGAGACCTTCTCGTGTCCGCCGCCTCCGATTCGATGTCTGCCAGCGCCAGAATTCTACTTTCCGAAAATCTCGCCGCCGAAAGAAGAAGAAGCGTGGGGGGAGAAATGCATGAACATTCTCGACGGGAAAACGTCTCCTCCGCCTTCTCCTCCTCCATCTCCCCGCCTCCTCCTTCCTCCTCCTCCTCCTCCTCCTCCTTCTCCTCCTCATTCGGAGTACTCCGATCTCCCGAGGAGCATGGATTTCGAGGGCAGCGAGTGTTTCCAGCCGTCGCCAGAGGCTTTCAGGAGGCTGGGACGCGATATTTCGATCAGGCGCGTCGAGGATTTCGATCAGGATGAGAAAGCCCCTTGCTATCGATGCATCGGGAGGCTGGCTGAGGCGAGGAGAATCCACGCGCGCGCTCCAGCGGTGGTGGCGCCGCCGAAGACAGCAGAGAAGTCGCCGATGATCGAGTCCTGCCCCAATGCGCGATCGATGTACCGCGAGGAAGCCTGGGGGATGGAGCGATGGCTCCACGTCCAGCGGTGGGCGGCAATGGCGACCAAGGCTCAGCGGAATGTGTTCGAGCTGTCGAGTCTTCTTGGCGACGCGCTGGAGGCGATGGACATGTTCGTGGAGAAAGGCGCGCGCGCGGACGAGAGGTACCAGAGGCAGCGCTGCCGCTACTACGCGACCTGACGAGCGAGAACGATCGATCGATCGAGTTGTTCTTTTCGGTGTACGTTCTGAATTGTATAGGGAAGCGATCTTAATGAAATTTAAGTTCTTTTGTTCCTTTCAGGCCTAGGGTTTATCCGGAGCCGATGGCGAGCGCCGATCTTCCGACGGTAATGTGGCCGCATTTGGATTTCTTGGGAGATTCATCGCGCTTTCTTAGGGCGTTGGATGATCGCGCTGCCTAAGCCGGCAGATTTCTTTGGTAAGAATCGTGCATTAGCTCGATCTTAGGGTCGATTCATCTAGAAGCGTGTCAGTCAGTGGATTTCTCCGTGCAATACATTGGAGGAATGGCTCTATCTTTAGCTGACGCTAGAGTTCCAGCTTGGGATGTGCGAGCCGGAGTCGCGCCCAGCAAGAAGAATGCGGCTGTCAAGCGAGAATTTAAGTCGAATTTCTTTCAGTCATCCGCTGTGGCGGTAAGATTTTTCTTCGTTTCTTCTGCCTCTCAGTGTAGAGTGGTGCAGAAAGTAGCAACGATTGCTCCAAGAAAACTTCGGCGGAGAGCACTAGTGATCAGTAACAGTTCTTCGACGTCAGTCAAGCTATCAGCGAATGATCTCGAAGAAGCCAAATTGGCGGTGAAGGAGCTCGTCCAAAATACGCATAGCAATCCAATCCTGGTAAAGTTTCTTCGAGAAATTTCATTGTCACCTTCTTTGGTTTCGTTTGTAGATTCGCTTGGGGTGGCATGACGCAGGAACTTATAACAAAGATATCAAAGAGTGGCCAAAATGCGGTGGTGCAAATGGGAGTATACGATTTACGAAGGAGATGGGTCACGCTGCCAATGCCGGTACTGCCTTGTTCGTTTCAACTTACTTTTGAACTGGGTGAATGTATTGTCAGGCCTCCAAGGCGCACTGAAACTTCTGGATCCTATCAAAGATAAATTCCCTGCGATAAGCTATGCAGATTTGTTCCAACTTGCGAGCGTCACTGCGATAGAGGTAACCCCCGTTTATGAAACATGCTGTTATTCAAGTTATTGCAGCTAGCGGGAGGTCCTAAAATACCGATGCGATACGGAAGAGTGGATACGACTACTCCAGAAGAATGTCCGGAAGAAGGAATGCTTCCTGGTTCGTAAAATTCTTTCTAACAACTGTGCGTTTTTACATTTAATCTTTTTCTTTAGATGCTGGAGCTCCAAGTCCTGCCGAACATCTTCGGAAGGTATTTTACAGAATGGGGTTTAACGACAAGGTACATAGATCATAGATAGAGAACTTTAGTTGTTTACATGTTGAACAGGAAATTGTTGCTTTATCGGGTGCTCACACGCTCGGCAGGGCTCGGCCGAATAGAAGTGGATGGGGCAAAGATGAAACCAAATATACAGTAATGTAGCATCTACTACGTGTTCTTACTAAACAGTGAATCATTTTATGCAGAAAGATGGTCCAGGACTACCTGGCGGGCAGTCATGGACCGTACATTGGCTGAAGTTTGACAACTCCTATTTCAGGGTATGCCTTTACCTTGGTTCTGATCACAATAATCCTCTCGGAGGTGTAGGAAGTAAAAGAGAAACGAGATGCAGAATTACTTGTACTGCCAACGGATGCGGCTCTCTTTGAGGATCCCAGCTTTAAGGTGCGGAATGTGCTTCACAGTTCAGTTTCTACTTCATGAAAACGGTCTGAGTTTATAAAGTTGGAGGCAGGTGTATGCTGAAAAGTATGCAGAGGATCAAGAAACTTTCTTCAAAGACTACGCAGAAGCTCATGCCAAACTTAGTGAGCTAGGTGCTAAATTCGATCCACCCGAGGTAAATGATCTAGTTTTTGAGAAAACTTTACAATACTCTCACTGCAGGGCATTACGCTTGAGGCTGCTCCTCAAAAGTTCGTTGCTGCCGAATACTCAACTCCGAAGGTGCCTTTTCTTACTTGGCTGTATGCACCGACCATCATCTGTTGTTTGCAGAAAGAGCTCTCTGATTCCATGAAGCAGAAAATCCGTGCTGAATACCTTGGGCTTGGTGGAAGTCCAGAGCAGCCTTTGAAGACAAACTACTTTCTGAACATTATAGTCATCATTGCGGTTCTTGCTATTCTGACGTGGCTATTCGGTGGGTTTTAGTAAGTACGCAGTATCGAGGCATTCCCGTTCGGTCAGTTTTTATTTCTAGCTTCAATAAAACTCTCACTAAAGTTCCAGAGCTCTTTTGCAAGTGCCATGTCGTTTGCAAGTGGACTGCAGGTAGCTTCGTTGCAATCCTCGAAATATCGCCCTGAGATTCCGTTAACCCTGGAATGAGTTGCAACATAGCAAGTCGTAGCTGCTCCCTGTGATCACGAAAAGAACGATATGAGCAGACTGGGAAAAGAAGATTTCGGTCATACTTGGGGTACGGGCCTCATAAGTAAGGAGCAGATAGATATATACGACTCTGAACAGCAGTCTGGTTTGATTAGTTTCTCTTGTGGTGCTAATTCAAGGAAGCTTACGTATTGCAGGCCGAAGATTGCGAAAGATTTGGGTGTGGACTACGCCGGGATGTAGTGCGTTTGCGGTAATGTTGGCTCTCCTTTCCTAAGCAATCTTGATAAGAAACGTAGTGAGGGGCATTTAGTGCGTTTATTACCTTGAGCTGCCTTGAGAGTTCTTTTACGTGTAGAATGTTTGCGAGCTTTGAACCAGCATAAAGAGTTGGGTGCCAATTTGACATCCTGGCAAACCAACAAGATCAAGACATTTGGTCGGCTTCTGATGCTTTTACCTGTTTTCAGTGTTTAGTTTTTGAAAGTCTGTGCTGTCTGTTAAAATCGCATGTGCTTTTGAAGAAATATTCACGATTCTTCCTTCAATCCTGGTCTCTTCAGATGTCCGGATCATCGTGTCCAGGAGCAGCTTTGTCAGCAGGAAATGGCCTGGGTGAATGCGTGCTAGTTAGTTTTTTTGATACGTTTGTATTCTATCTGACCGAGATGGTTTATTGCGAACTGTAACTCCATCTTTTCTTCAGATAGCTGCAGGCCTCGGCAGATTACCCCGGCATTATTTCTTCACAGTGCAAGCATGTCACAACAAGAAGAGAAGGCGTACGATGAAAGCTTACATGAGAATATTTAGTGGAGCGTTCAGAGATTTGAACTCGTCGACAAAGGTGCGTATAGAAGCGAACGAGCCGAGATCCAGCTCTCCGGTGCTTACTTTCGCATCCGGAAGTTCACTGATAATTGCTGACTTTGCTTGTTCGGCAGCCTTCAAAGTTCTCGCCGGAATAACGACGTGAGCTCCTCGCATCGCCAGCACTCTCGCCGTTTCCAAGCCAATTCCAGATGTAGCACCTCAAGGGAAGGCAAGCATCCATTAAACATTTTCATATTTCGTGCTGCATTCTAACCTGTGACGATGGCAGTGCGGCTGGACAGATCAATGCCCTCGGTCACGTCTTGTGCTGTTGAGCGAGATCCAAATCCACTCTCTCCTTTGGTACCCCACAGGTATGCCCAATCCACGGGAGGCATAGCAAGACGATGGGCCTCACTCGAAGGGAAGGCTCACTTTTAAAGCTCTCATGGTTTCTCACTTGGCCGCGTCTTAATCTTGCACAGAGGGAAGCTCTGGAAGAAACAGACACGAAAACATTAGCTGGGCCTGTCACGGGGTTCCCTGGTTGGGTCACGAGATTGTCTCTTTGGGTACGTGCTGTGCTATCTTAATGTTGTGCGCAGCCTTCTCTGGCTCATCTCTTGACGCAGAGATAGCATGGTCGGCAAACTATGGAAAACTCTCATACTATGGAAAAGGTATTCTTATAAAGTCTAAAAGGCTAGGCTTCCTTTTCCCACGTGTATAAAGCGTGCGAGACTTAACCCTGTGAATTAGCTATGGATGCGAGGACGGCTTTTAAGGACGCTCTTACAAAGGACGCGTTGGATTTCCCTGGGAAGCTCGAGGAGGTCGACTATTTGGACGTGTGGTTTTACTACCCGTCCTGGGATGAAGTGTTGCAGTACACGGCCCCCCGCGACATGATAGTGGTGAGGGCGCACTATGCGCAGGGGTTCTTCAAGCTGGTGATCCGGGCGCCGTATGGAATGGGCATGGTTGCGACGCTGATCAAAGCCAAGATCAGGGAAGTGGCGGTGGTCGAAAAGTCGTGTTACGTGCACGAGAAAGTGGACGAGGTCCCTAGCTTCGCTCTGTTTGCCAACAAGTATAAAGCTCAGGGCTATGAAAAGGTGACCCAAATCTGGGGCACTCAGGAGAAGGTGACGAAAATCAGGGACGACGACACACACGAGGATGATTATGTGTTGATCGATGATTTTGTGTTTTAGTATAAGTCGAGAAATTAAACTACGAGTTGGTGCAGTTGGACCAGGGGATGACGCACTAGAGGCAATTGACAAGTGGGTAGATCAATGTTGTAGATCACGGCATTGACGATGTATGTCACAGAAGGCCCTAGTAAGAGGAGTACTGCACCCCTGGTGCACTGAGAAGCCAAAGCGAACCCTGATGGTGCAATAGACGTGGAAGCAGCAGAAATTGAAGTTTGGAGGATAGGACTTTGAAGCAAAGAATGGAAACCAAGGCGCTTGACGAAGAAGAGAGGAGAATAGAAACCATAATATTGAGAAGTTCTCTGACAGTATTAAAACGTAAACAAGAAAATTTATTGATTTAAATCAAATTATTAATTATAAATTATCTATAACCATGAATAGGCATTTGGTAGTTCTTAACATATCAAAGATAAATAAGTGTAAAGCTAGTAGAAATTATTCAAATACATAGTTGAATACACTAATTCCATAAATATATGAAAGGTCCATACTTTTGAATGTTTTTTCTTACAAAATAAGATTAACAAGTAGCAGCCGTCAATAGAACTACAACTGAAGCTTTTACATAACAATAAAGACATAAACATGTTTTTGTGTGAGTAACAAAGACTGGCTTAAAACGGAATCACGTTTTGTATTTCGTAAGTTGTTCTTTTTAGTTGCTTACATATTGATCCCTTTGTACAAAGTGTTTCAGTTGCTGCACATGCGTAATTTCTAAAAGATCAACTTATTAACCATCATACCAAACTTCATAAATTTCTAGTTCAACTTGTTACAACACTCAAAACAATCCCTTCTATTGAGCAAAGAATTGTTTAGATAAACCACATGAAAATGAATTAATAATAAGTCATCCACTTTGTATTTTCCAAGTGGATAATGATGGGAATTGTAATATCATTATTGTCCCACTTTTATGTGGCCCAAGTGTTTAGCAAACTCTACTTGGACCAATGTTTAAATATTGATTTCAAAACCTAACATTAGCAACTCATAACAATCATAAAGGTAAACGCAACTTTATTAGCAATATCGGATCATGACCATATAAAAGTTTATATGATGAAGTAACAATGAAACTCTATACCCCTATGATAAATGCATACTGAAGAGATGGCAAATAACAACTAACAAAATTATTAACTTTCGCATATTAAGTTAAGTAGTTAAAGGCAATAATAACATACTCATTATTAGCAGTCAACCTTAGAAAAAGCCCCATCAAATCAAATGCCACAAACTCAAATAGACAGAAACTATAATTAATTTTAATTGTCCTTCTGCAACATAAGAGGGAATATTACAAACTTCGCACCAAACATAGTTACACATATACTAGATAACATAATATTTCGGGCTAATAGAAATATTTATGCAACTTCTCAATCACAAAATCATATTTGATATGCCTACTAAAAATAAAAAAGGTCATATTAGGTATGGAGAAAGTGTGCAATAAAAACTGAAGACACCACCAATCATAAATAATCATTAGAACCCATCCCAATAAAATAAAGAAGGTTGTTCTCAACATGATATTGAAAATATAAATATTGAAATAGCAAGTCCTTAGCAAGTGATATAAAATTTTTAAACCCATTATCAAGCCTTTGAATTTATAATTTTCAACTTTTTAAGTTTCACAAACTTCATCAAGAAAAAGTAAATCTTGCTCTACACCTTGTAAATATTAAACATTAAAGTATAACAATTGTTGACAGCACAGAATCTTTATTTAGAAAATCCACTAATGCTAGAATAATAGGTTTATTGGGAATAGAAGAAGAGAGTGAAGAAGGAAAAGGAGTTTGAAAAATGGTGTTTACATCAATTATAAAACTCTTTAGCAAATGAACAACCTTAAATTTATATATTTAAGACTTTAAGGTCCACTTTAGAAATGATCATAAATAGTAAAGTGTAGTAAAATTTATATATCTTATGCTTTAGGGTCACTAAATAATATGATCAAAGTTCTTTTACTTTAATAATGAAGTAATCACAACATGATTATATTTTAATAATGTTTGAGAACTATGCAAATAAATTGATGTATGCAATAGGATGATATTGATCAAGCTGTAAGCAACCAAAAGGAACGACTCGAGAGACGATCCGTTGGGGTTCAAATATAGAGGGAAAGGGCCCATGAACAAGAGTGCACCCCCTTTTCCAATTGGTTAAGGGTCTTGGGATATTTGGGGTTAAGCGTCCTTGGGTGTGAATAGTACTGGGTTGGGTGACCTCCCGAGAAGTCCAAACTCAGAAGCTTACATTTGGTATCAGAGCGGTCTCGGGTCCGACTCTGTTGGTTGGCTAGGGGAATCGCACCACATGTTGATTGACATCTGGCTGGTCCAGTTTGCTCCCGCTGGGCTCGACCCGAGGGGTAGGGTGTCAAGAGAGCAGGGCTCTCGGGAGAGCTGCGGCTCTCAGCTTCCGTTCACGAGGGCGTGAACTTGCAGGGAAGCGTGGTGGATTGTAAGCAACCAAAGGGAACGACTCGAGAGACGATCCGTTGGGGTTCAAATATAGAGGGAAAGGGCCCATGAACAAGAGTGCACCCCCTTTTCCAATTGGTTAAGGGTCTTGGGATATTTGGGGTTAAGCGTCCTTGGGTGTGAATAGTACTGGGTTGGGTGACCTCTCGGGAAGACCAAACTCAGGAGCTTACACAAGCACACTCGTGCTTTTTTGCATCAAAACACCCCCAAAATTTATATTAAAAGCATTCATGTGCAAAATAAAATGTCAAATGTAGTTTTAGGGTAAATGCAAACTTTAAAACTTTTCACAATTAATTCAACACTTTATAAACATTATGGATATGTTCCTTCCACATCTCCTTCAAGTGGATCAAGACATCATCGATGAAATTAATAGTCATTTTTAATATATTGTAAAGAACCTTATCCATCATCCACTGAAAAATTGTTGAATCATTGTTCAATCCAAATGATATCATCAAGAACTTATACAAACTAAATGGTGTATGAAAAGCAATTTTGGAAATTTTTTCATTAGCCATTAGCACTCGCTAATATTCAAAAGCAAAATTTAATTTAATGAATTAACAACTTCTCCCTATATGATCTAGCACATTAGCAATGTGAGGAAAATAGTACATACTTAGGATAATCACCTCATTTAATAAATGATACCCATCAGATTTTGTTACAAGATAAGTTTCACATACTCAAAGACTCCAAAACTTATGCAAAATCATCAAGTGCCAATTAATTCCTACAATTAGCCAAGAATCTTTATGACCCCTATTATAAAGTGATCTAGCTAAATAAAGAAGTCAAGAAGAGCAAGATGACTATTGTTCAAGATTAATGCATAATGGTTTTGGATATTCTAATAGTATAATATAAGTTAATGTTGACACGGAAAAAGAGGACATTTCATTAGGGGCATTTTAAAGCAATATAGAAGAACTAATGCCATGGATGAGCTAAAAAAAGACCATACCAAATAAGTATTTTAGTGTCCACTAAGTCAAAAATTAGTTTATCATAACATATTTGGCCCAATTATATTTCATATGCAAACAATCCCCACACCTTAAATGCAACTTTCTCGGAATTTAAAGAAGAATTGAGTATTGCAACTTAATCCTTTTATTTACAAATCTAAGTTAAATGGTTTAATGCTTCACTACTATCCATCCTACGACTCACCACATATAAGACCACTATAACCAAATATACATTAAAATATGAATTTTTGATTGCATGTTATGAGAATAAGCAATGAGATCATACCTTGTTGTAAATTATCTTTTCAAGAAGAGAAAGTGCTTTATGTATTTGATTCTTTATTCCTGATAACATGTTTTTTAGTCTCAACATGACTAAACCTCAAACTTGTATTCACACTGCTTTCAATTTAATCCAAGAAAAGTTTATAAGAGAGCACAACAATGACTATTTAAACCAATAAACTAATCCTTATAGTCTTAATTGATCCACTCATAATCATGCATAGGAAGGATCCACTAATGCCGTGTTAAATAGCTATAGACTAGTCTATTTTCCACTCATAGCAAACCCAAAGGAGATTTACTTTTACCCATGGTATATAGTAACAATATATGATAACCACCAATAAGCTAACATTAATTTTGTCAACTCAAAATATAACTTTAAGTTGTTAATGTGTCTCACTCACAAGCTTAACATAAACTTATGTAAATATTACATCTTAAATCCATTCTATAAGCCCAAGTAAAAGCTATAATATAGTATGAAAAGGTAACTAAATTCTATACCTAAAGGATGCATATGAAGCCATAACAACTAAATATGTACCCTTTTGAATTATCATTTCAATACTACATATGTTGAACCAACACTATTATGTTCAAGATAATCTTTACATTCCGTAAATATGCCAAATTAGCAAATCTAGACATTTTCCATAAATAACAATTAAAACCAAATAAAACTAACACAAAAGGTATGATTGAGGGTGTTTGGTAAACATGATAAACTATCATTTGGCAATATTAAACTAATCTCAATACATGGGGGGTTTTTTGTCATTAGTCAGTGCAAGATACAACAAAATGAGAACTCCTTACCAAGCTAAATATGCTTAGTTAATAGCACGTAGGAATTCCATCCTTATACTTGTTTAGTTTAAATACACTCAAAATGGTCAATTAACTCTATTAACATAAAAGGGATTGATAAAGGATCCAACAATATTAACCTTCTACCGTCGTGGTAATAAAGAAAGAATAGTTAACATGTAACTTTCAATACTCACAACCACCATTCAAAAAAAATCCATGAATAACCAATAACCATGGTTTTATGTTCAAGAGGAACCATTATTGAATAAATAGGCTTTTCTTTAAAACCTTCAATACAACCTTCAACCAAAGCAGGAAAGGAGAAAATGATTATCTAAGCCCCAAGCAATGTGTGTATACCCCTTGGCTAAACTCTTTTACTTGCTCTAACTCAAACTTGACATCTAATTTGCAATTTCAAGATGTGAATATATAATTGATTGTATTACCCTGTATTGTGCAAGCTGGCAAGGATTTGGGTTGTGAGGATATTATGAAGTGTTTTGTAGTTTAAAAAGTATTTGCTACAAGCTTAATACTTTGCTATACAAAAGAATAAGTGTGTGGATTTAGATGTTATCCTAGAATCCAACAAGAGATTATTGATGATATGTGGATCAAAAACTTATGCTTACGTAGATTTATAAAGGGTGGCTTTCCTGCTTTATTAGTTTATTACAATCAGAGTAAAACAAGAAAGGAGAATATATTCGTTTTAGGGTTTAAGCCAACGATGGCGCCGCGCCGGCAGTACCAGGCGAGGAACTCGCCGGCGATGGAGTGGAAGGCGAGGGATCCGGCGACGGATTCTGGCAGGTATTGGAAGTCGGGGTTGGTGTTTGTAGCGTATTTGCCGCAGGATGAGGCGAATCCCTCGCAAGCGCTAGAGATTATCGATTTTCTCAACGCAGAGCTCAGCCGGCTCTTGAGAATGAAGGCGCGGGAGTTTTGGGAAGAAGGTATGGATTTTTTGCTGCATTTTGTGACTGACGCTTTGTTGTTTTTTATTTCCTTGCTTTAGTTACTGCGAATGAGTCTTTGCATGAGTTTCTAGAAAGCTACTTGCTTTATCGAAGGCGATGGTACGATCTTCACCCGACTGGCGGAGTGGTGCCTGGAGAAGACGATCTGAGCCGACGAGTTTTTATGGTGCTTCTCCGGATGTAAGCTCAAATGTCATCTTCTTCTTTCACTCTCGATTGGATCAACCAGGTGCTCTGACGAAGATCCTGGTTTGTCCAGGATTAGTGCAGGTATGTATGTGCTTTCTTCTGCCTTTGGTCGATACAAGCGTTTGTAGTTTTTGATAGCTAAGTTTCGTGTGGAGGACAAGTTTAATGTGGCAAAGCTCTTGAATGTTTGCGCGATCTACGGACACGACAATCCGGAGTTGACGCGCAGATTGGTACTGTAAATCTGGACTCTGAGTTTCACATTGTGTGTTCTGAAAGTGAATTTTGTTTGAAGGTTAGTACCGTATTCAAGTTCCAGCCTTCCTATTTGCAGACCCTTTCTGACGTTGCTCGTCAAGTCCTTGCTACGATCGATGGAGTTAATAAGCGCACTCTCGAGGTATGTTGTGCATGCTTGATGTGATTGGCTGACTCGTATTCTCTAGAGCATTGGACATTCAACCAACAAAACCAACTCAGAATTCAAGGACGAGCTTATGGAGGTTTGAGTGGTTTGCCATTGGTCCTCTTTTGTCCACTCACACTGATTGTAACAGGCTGTGGTCTTATTGCACGATACAGTGATGACACTAAACGCTTTTGTTGAGATTTATTCTCCTGCAGCGGGTTTTTTCTTGTCGGCAGAGCCTGCGTAAGCCGAGGTTTCACTCTTTCTGTTTGCTAATAGTTATTTTTATGTGCAGTAGAGACAAGAGTCTAATGTTCTCTTTATCGTGTGTCTACAACTCGCTGCTGCCGTCAGTAAGGAAACAATCTATTGGAGAAGAGCTTTCTCGATATCTGGACACACTCCAACGGGAGCTTGTGCATTTTGCCTGGAGCCTTCTTTTCAATTCCTTCTTTGGAGATACAACGACTCGGATGGATTCCAAAGCCAATGGAGAGGTCTTTGTGGACGCGCTGATTGGTCTTTCATTCGGCGGCGACGGAGCTAGTTTAATACATTCCCTATCCAACATGTTTGACTTGTCTGGGAACGTTCACAGGCTTCTTCAAGAAGGTACGTGCTTAGTTTATGCATTGTCTTTCCTGACCCGTTGCTTCTCTTTCTTATCAAGGCTCAATTGTTCTCGATGATGGCCAATATGCCCAGTTACTTGCTTTGCTACCTGATATGCCTTCGACAAATTTTGTTGAAGACAGAAAGCCACCAGTCAGTGTTTCTCACGAAAAGGATGAAGAGGACGCTATTCGTCAGTCACATATCAGTCAGATCAAAGACTTGCTCCCTGACTACGATGACGTGTTCCTTTCAGCATGCCTTGAGGTATACGACAACAATCCCGAGATCGTTATTCAGCATATTTTGGAAGGCACTATTCACCCCGACCTGACCTCCACACCGAAAAAAGGTAAAGGGAAGCTCGTCGACTCAAAGAAAGAAGATAGAAGCAACGTCGATGCGAAAGGGAAAGGGAAAGCTGTCGAAAACCAAGCAAGCAAAGCACACGGGCGGTTCGTAAGAAAGAGCCAAAACAGGGACGACGATGCAGCCACCATTCTTGACGAACGAGATGCCGGCACGTCCAGTCAGACGGCAAAGCTAGCAATGCAGCTGATGTATGAAGACGAGTATGACGATTCTTTTGACGACCTTGATACGAACGTGGCGGAGGCGGGTCTCGAGACAGACAGCCTGGTGAATCTGTTTTCCCGCACAAAACTTTCTTCAGACTCTTTGGAGGACGGACAAAAAGCCAAGTCTTTCTCTGCGAGCCAGAAACAAGAACCGTCTGGAAGACCGCAACGAAAGCAGGAAGCGTCACGATTCTTTGTCAAAGACGGGAAGCACTACAACTACAAAGTCGCTGGCGCCGTGGCAGTCTCGAGTCTGGAAGAAGCGGAGGCCTTGAAAAAGCAGGAGGAGGGACTCATCTACGGGCTTGGTCGGGGTGGTAACGTTCCCGCAAATTCTGATGGTGAAGATGACAAGGAAGAAGATGACGGAGGAGAAGATGACAAGGAGACAGCGAAGGGTACCTCTGTTGCAACGCAACATCGTGCTCACGACGAAAGGGGAAAGCCACCATACAGGCCGCAGTTTGCGACAAAAAAGAACCACAACAAAAAGGACTTGTCCTTGAAGAAGCACATGTCTGGACTGAGAGGGAGTTAAGGTATCGTCTCATTTTCAAGTCAACTGTTTCGATTATCTTCGATCTTCTCCAGCTCGAAAAACGTAAGATGATTCTGTTCTCTTTCAAATTGAATGGTTGGTGACCGTTGTGTTTGTTGTGCAGGCTTCTATGAAATGTAACTTTTTGTCTAGAATAAAGCTGCTAATAGAAGGTGCCAAGCTCAAACTCACAGAAGGCTCATTCTTTTTATAGGATTACCTGAACTGCAGAGTTTTCTTGGGAACTTGCGATGGCTGCCTCCAGCAAGCCTCGAGTTCTCATCATCGGGTGCACTGGCTACATCGGGAGGTTCATTACAAACGCCAGCATTCGTCTCGGCTATCCGACTTATCTGCTTGTCCGCCCAGAGGTTGCAAGTGATGTGTACAAGGCTGCCATGGTAATTGGCTTCAAGAGCGCCGGAGCAACACTCGTCGAGGCAAGTCGATTCTCATATCTCCCTTTTGTATTTTGAAAGCGTTTTGTTTTCTCCAGGGATCTGTGACTGACGAAAAGAAGCTCGTGGAGGCTTTAAAGCTGGTCGATATTGTCATTTGCAGCATAGCAGAAAAGAATTTGAATGACCAAGTGAAGCTCATTCAAGCTATCAAGCAAGTTGGGACAATCAAGGTGACAATTTCTCCAGCCGTTTTACTTTTTCTTCCCGATTTTACCGCGACTTGTTGCAGAGGTTCTTACCTTCGGAGTTTGGAATGGATCCCGGGCTCATGGATCACGCAATCGCTCCGGGGAACAAAGTTTTCATGGACAAGATGAAAATTCGGAGGGCCATCGAAGCGGCACAAATCCCACACACGTACGTCTCCGCGAATTGCTTCGCTGGTTACTTCCTCTCTGGCATCGCACAGTTCGGCCGCTTCTTTCCTCCTCGAGACACAGCAGTCGTCTACGGTGAGGGAAATGCGAAAGGTACTACACACCACATGAGACGCGACGTAGATTTTTCTCCTTGTTTTCTTCCTCAGTGATTTGGGTGGACGAGAACGACGTCGGGACTTTTGTGCTCAAAGCCGCCGAGGATCCGCGGACTCTAAACACGTCTGTGTACATCCGGCCACCGAAGAACATACTCTCCTTGAACGAAGTCCTCCAGCTGTGGGAGAAGAAGATCGGCAAAACGCTCGAGAAGCAAACCTTGCTTGAAGAGGAGTTCATGAGCATGATAAGCAACGGTAAGAGAGAAGCAATTCCAATACAAAATTCTTCTTTCATTTCCTCAACGCTGTGTATACATGCAGAGAAGGCTTCTTTGCCGGAGAGAGCGGCCCTTGCACACTTCTATCAGATATTTTACCGAGGGGACCTGATGTTTGAGATAGGCCCGGACGGGCGAGACACGGGAGAGCTCTATCCCGACGTAAGCTACACGACTGTGGACGCCTACCTTGATCGTTACTTGTGAACGTACATGCTTTAGAATACTTCCTTGGTTGACTTATTTGTAGCGCCTACTTTTTCAGCTCCAGCAACTCTACGCTCATGTCAAATGTAGCTTTTGGCTGCAAAGAAAGTCAGTGTCTTCTAGAGATCTCGAGAAAAGCTTACAGGAATTTCGTTCATCCCTCTATCTCCATAGCCGACATCAGGGGTGACGATCACAGTTCTCTGCCAGTGAGGCGAAGATGAGCAAAGAAAAATAAACAAATTTTCTCCACCTTGCCTCCGACACGCATGCCTTCGACGACTGTGTAGAGCGCGGGAGGCGGCTTTGGCGAGGCCTGGGCCGAGAAGAGGCCATTGGCATTGTCTACAAACTCTCGCTTTCGTTCTCTGCCGGGAACAGATCCTACGATAAGCTCGTAAGGCTGGAAAGAGAAAAACGAAAGGTTAAAAGACCAGCTTTTTTTCTGTTCGATCTTGGTTCACCTGAGCTATAATTCGATTCCCACCCAGGAGTTTTGCTTCTCGACTAGAGACGGCGTCTATTCCACGGTACAAGCAATCAAAGTGAACCTGCCAAGTCTTATCTTTGATCCCCGGTAATCTATCAAGCTTGAGAACGTACTACTACAGTCTCGCCTTTGACAGCAACAGGACCGTTGCCTTCGAGAACGTCGTAATACTTTAGACCGTCAGCTGTGCGGTCGAAGTTCGCTCTCTAGCATAAGCAGAAGGAAAGAAGGAACAATGGGTGCCTACCAGCGGTTTTGTAGTCTTCGATGGGAATCACCTTTTTGTTCCTTCCCCGAGCAAACGCTACCTCAATCCTCGGTGCCAGAGTCGCGATGCAAATCGCAATGCTGATTCTCCGCCTGCAAAACGATAGCGAGCTCTTATCTCCAGCTGCTGACCTTACTGCTGGCGATTTTTGTGCGGAGAAATGCTGCTGGCTGCGTTGCCCAAGTGCCCATTCCAGGACAGCCGCCATTTGTAGAGGAGCTCGGGACATAGCCAGACTCGAAGAAATTCCCTGTTTGGTGCAATTTAAATTAAAATTGTTTCATTGGCACGGAGCAGGCACGTACATGCTTTGCATTATCAAGGCCCTGCTAAAAGATCCTAATGCCATGACCAGATCTACAGTTTTTCTCCTCCTCCAGTCGACAATTCTTTAGTGAACTCGACAATAGCACAGTTTCTCCTCCACCGAGTGAAGGACTACACGCCGGAGACAGGTGAGGCAGTCCTAGAATTCTCTTGTCGTATGAAAAACTCTTTCTCTAAACTGACTTTTTGCCTTTCGAGAGTAGCATGATATTGCATTTTCATGGTGAAGCCACAATAAAGAGAATCAAGCTTTGCTCTTTCAAGATCATGATCATCTTCTTCCTCCAGTTGTAAAAAGCTTGCAAGAAGTTAAAAACACAAATGGATACTTGAAATGCAGAAAACAGGGACAGAACATAAGAAAACAGTCGAATGAAAGTAGCTTCCATTTGCGTTCACGTTGTGAGTGAGGGATGCAAAACAAAAAAGAAAAAAGAAAAGAAAAAATCAGAAAGAAAATACAAGAAACGCCGCTCCTTTCTCTCCTTTTACCAATGAAGAAAAAGTCTAGACACGTTGGAAGACGTAGAGGTAGCCCATGTCCTTGGGAGGATCACCCGAGAGCGCCACTTTTCCGTCGTTGAAAATCACCCATCGCCCTTCCTTCAGAATATGGGCAACGTAGTGGCCACACAGTGTTGAAGATCCCATATGGCTCACAAAGCCCATTAGCTTGTACTCTGCCAAATCCACCATGACATAAGCTAGAGCCAGGAATACCATACCACAAAAACTTACTTCCAGAGCCATCCGGTAAGTCGTGTGGAACCGAGGATGAGGGAGTGCTCGAACCTCCTACATCGAGCTCCATCGCATTGGCATCGTCAGAATTACTGAAGATCCACTCTGCTGCATCCTCCGTGCGACCGCCCTGCTTTCACAGATATTGTTTCATTACTATCCTGGACTGAGGAAGAGAAACGGACGTTACCGTCGCTCTGAGAGCTTTCCGAGCAAGATCGGCAGAAAAGCCCAACGCAACCAGGGACTGCACAGCGTTCTCGTCCACGTTGGCGTTGGATGAGCTGTGGCTGTAAGGCACGTCGATATCTGCCAGTAAAAGCAGTAAAATCACCAGAATTGTATTTCAAGTTTAATTACCAGGATCGTCCATGTGAGACAACAGCCACTCCATTGCCGGTTCTGCTCCGTGGTTGGACGTAAAAATCGCGGCCTTCTCGCAGCGAACGCGAGGAAAGCCCATGTCCATCAGTTGCGAGACTATAGCCTCGTCAGCTACAGGTCCCTCGGCTTCATCATCTGTACAAGATAATTAGAAAATAGAGCCAAAGTTAAGAGCTTCGAAAACCTGCTTCAGGAAGCAACTCCTCGCCGGGTTGGAGTCCCTTGCCACGCATATGACTGATATCGATGGTGTCCGGAACGTCCAGGAAGACATCTTCAGAACGAAAAGAAGAATAAAAAGGATTGGAAAAAAGTTAAATAGAAATATACCAAGTTTTTTAGGAACCCATGAAGCATCCAACTGGAATTTACGCATGTGAAGAAGAAGGTATGTTGGAAACGTCGCCAAACTTGTCATTCTGCAAAACGGACAGCATCTGAACAACAAACTATGTCTATTTGCGTTCCTTACTTGAGAGCTGTAGTTCTTGCGTTTACGGCAGTACTGTAGAACTCCACCTCGTCAGGGGCAGCAAATCTATCCAAGCATGCTGACAAGGGAATTCTTGGTCGTACAACCTCTCTGAAAATTTATGTGAGAGAGGAATCGGCACGAAACAGAAAAATATCTTACATTTTTTCTCCAGAATTCCCACCCTCCGACGTGATCTTTTCATATGCTGCAACCTCATCTGCAAAATAAATTTAGCTCTCGATTAAAAGCAAACAGAATAAACGAAACCTCTGTTAGTTGCAGCATCCAAAGGAAGTGTAAGCGACAATGCATTGTCCACGCGTTTTGTATACTTCACCTTCCCCGAGGAACAGCAAACAATTCGCTCCTCAACCAGAAACTTGAAACAACGGGACGGGTCTTCGTTTGGGTTTGCAACATTTCCACGCTCAACTTGCTCCAAAAAATATTGGAAGAATTCAAATGCATCCTGCACTTGCCGTATTAAATCCTCAAAAACTCATATATGTAAATCAATGTACCTGCTGTCTAGAACTCGCAAACTCAGGGTGACCAGCGCCAATTAATGATTTGAACATTCGTGGCGGTATCCCCTTCTGAAACTGAACATCTAAATAGTGAGGAAAACAAGCAGTACAACAAAAAGACAAACCTGGTTAGCCACCTCCTTATCAGTGCCCTGAACCTGTGCGCAAAGAGTTACAAATTTTTATGAGGACGAATGGCCAATACCTCGGGTTGTTCTGAATATTTGCCAGATAGCAAACCATGGCCTAGTTTGGACCTTTCAGAAGAACATTCTTAGTTTATTGCGCAAAGCTTCCTTTACTTACAGCTGCGTGTTCAAATCCTGAGTTGGATCTGCGGGAGCTAGCTGGAACGCGTCGTCCAGCTTGAGATTACCGTAGTATCTAAATCCAAAATCTTTAGCTAAACTAAATGCGAAAAAGACTTACCGCAGCTGAAAATCCCGAGTTGCAAAGATGATCTGTAAAACTGATGCCAAGTAGCAGCTGCCACTGGGATCAGCGAGGACACACAAACAAACGTCAAAGTTCCATACCTGTTTCCTAAGTTCACAAGCCCCGTGAACCCTGGCCCAAATAACGGCTCTAGCTCCTTTCCCTTCTCTTGAATGCGATTCCAATCGAAATTTACGTTTTGATCCAACTCTCTTTCAGCCGTAGTCATTTCCGTCTGGTAGTAGCATGAAAAGAACTTAGCCAAAGAAGAAAAAGAACGGTAGACATAAAGACCTTCTTTAGTGCTGCAAAGTTTATGCCGAAGTGTGCCAAGTGTTGTGCAAGCAAGGGATCGGTCACAGTATCGTCCTCGGCATATGAGAAAACGTCTACGTTGCAAAGACAAAAGGTCAGCCTGAAAAAGAAAAAAGAAAAAGAAAGAGGACGGACTTAATTTTTACCTGCAGTTTCCAAGTCTGCTGTTATGGTACCAAGCTTCACGGCTAGAGGATACTTCACATTGGCATAATGCTCCAAGGCGTGGTTGTTGCCTCCCGTGCCATCAAAGTTCCGTCGCCCGCAGAGAATGGATCCGTCAGTGAGGTTGAGCCAAAGATTCTCTTGCTTATCACATCTCTGGCACTTCCATCCGCTTGGAGGAACGCGTACACCGTTGTTTAGCTGCTGCAAGCTCTGTGCGTAGATGCTCAGTTGCTTCTTATCAGCAGTCCAAGCAGAGACTTGCTCCTTCCGCTCGGCACCCACAGATTGGACGACGGCGTCCACGCACAATCTGACCTGACAAACCAAAAGTTCTCAAGCAGCCAAACCAAGAACTTTAAGTTCGCATGCACACCTTCTCTGGAAGCTCGGCACTGGATAGCGGTAGAGTTTGGTAATCCGGAAGTATCACGATGCTCAAAGTCTCGTCATACTCCGGCTCCTTAGTTTCAAAGCCACCCTCGACTCCTGATAGCAAAAGTAGAAGCACAGTAAGAGAAGAAAAACCGAAAGGATCTTCATACCTATCGCGAGAAGCGTGGGTTTCTTGTGAGGGCGATCATCCTCCTCGTCGGATTCTTTCAGCGTGTGCTTGATATGGAGATAGACCGAACTCCCGGTTTTCTTGAAATTCCACATTGCTTGCTCGCGACCGAACGCCAGAAACGATGTGAGATCCACGAACAGGCCTCCATCGGATTTCTGGAGAAAGAGCTTATAATCCAGGCTACGAGCAGCCGGCGATGATTCTTACCGGCGTGTCGAACGTGAGGCAGCACTCCTCCTTGTAGATCCGCGTCGAGGCCTGCGGCATCCCAACGTTGGAGAGCGCCATGGATGAAAAGCCCTAAAATCCTGGAAGAGTCAAGAACCCTAAATTAGAGTAGCGCGGACGACGCGATCGAGTGGATCTCTTCCTAAATGCGCGATCAATCGATCGATCGGCCGGAGCTGCGGATCTAGAAAATGCAAAGCGCGCAGGATGGAGGTGGGATTCGATTGTCGCCGTGGATCCGGGAGAGCGCGACGATGTTTGCGCTCGCGGGATCCAGCAATATGTGTGGATCGGCAGTGACGAATCCTGTCAACGTTGTCAAGGTGCGAATGCAGCTGGATGGAGCGTTGTCCGCGACTCGGGTAAGAAGATTTCGCTTAGAATTTTCTAGTAGAAGAGATTAAAACGCTAGAACTAGTGATAACTTACGTTGTGTTCTTCCGCTAGGAAAGACACTACCAGGGACTCCTGAAAGGAATCGTGCGTGTGTCCAAGGAAGAAGGCATCTCGGGGCTATGGCGAGGCACTGGAGCGGCTCTTTTGAGAGAAGCCTCGTATTCCAGCATTCGAATGGGACTCTATGAGCCACTCAAGAGGGTAATCTCTTTCTTCTTCGGTTTTTCTTTCTAAAGTTCCGTTGTTACGTTTCCTCTCCCAACTCTTCCTCACTTTATTTTTTTCTTTCTCACTCCCCACTTTTTTGGTGTGTTTTTTCTTTTCTTTGTAATACTACTAGATGCTTGGAGCTGATAATCCATCACACACGCCTTTGTGGATAAAAATCACTGCCGGATCTCTTGCAGGTGTAATTGGTAGCGCTGTCGCAAATCCTACCGATGTTGTTATGGTTCGTATGCAAGCTCCGACTTCATCTCAAGGTACTAATATAAGAACACGAAACGTTTCTCTACTAGAGCTCAAACTTATATGTAATAGTTTTAGAGCTCAAACTTATAAACTTTGCTATCGTTTCAGGTGGATGGCACTACAAAGGCCCTCTCCATGCCTTTTCATCGATTGCCAGGACCGAAGGCATCCAAGGACTGTACAGAGGCGTGGTTCCGACAATGCAACGAGCCGCGATCTTAAACGCCGTCCAAGTCCCGGCTTACGATCACACCAAGCACACGCTGCTCAACGCAGGCATTGTCCGGGAAGGTATAGTCTGCCATTTGATCTCGTCAATGGTGGCGGGACTAGCAACAGCCATAGCCATCTCTCCAGTCGATCTCATAAGAACAAGGTGGAGTTTTTCTTTCTTTATTTCCTCGTTTTAAGTTTCTATCAATCTAAGGGCTAAGAGATTACTTACTTTGTGACAGGATCATGCAGCAGGCTGTGGATTCGAAGGGCGACGGCGTGTTCTACTCGTCCTCTTTGGATTGCTTGTGGAAGACTGTGAAAGTGGAAGGCTTTCGCGGGCTATACAAAGGCTTCGTTCCGGTGTGGATGCGAATAGGACCCCACACCGTTATCACCTTCTTTTGCTTTGAGCAATTGAGAAGAGTTCTTGGAATCAAACCATTGTGAATTGATCAAAGGTATGAAATGCTTTTCATTCATTCTTGTATGGTCGCTTCCTCTTGCTGAAGATTCTCCACTGCCGGCGATAAGTCTCGAAGCTCTCTGGAGAATCCGTGAAAACTCCATCCACTTCCAGCGTGTTTACAAACATGTCATACTCGCGATAAGGATCTTGGTGGTAATCAAACGGGAGGAGGAGGTTGCGCTCGTGATTAAACGTCCAGGGATGAACTTCGAGGCCTCTAGCGTGAGCTTTGTCAACCAGGTCGGTCATTGGTAAGAGTTTATTGTTGGAGTCCACGGGGGCGATAGCTTCTTTAGCTGGTCCGATTCCAACAACGATCTTACTAATGTAATCCAGGTAGTCATCGGAGATTATCTCTTCATACGTCTGGAAAAATGTAGAAATTGTAAGTTTTACGGCAGTAGAAATGTAAGTTTAAAAAAAAACACTTACCTGTTTAGTATCGGAGGTGATTGAATCTGGAGCGATCAATAAGATTTTCGGGGAGCTTGTTTTGTTGTGAAGATATATCAGAGAGCTCGGATCAAAAGATTGGATAAATACTGGCTTGTCAAGCCACTCCTTTGTGAGATACTTTGCATTGTAGTCATATTTTTTCAAGATGTTAAGAAAAACATCCTCAAATTTTCTTCCCTCGGACCATTTAACCTGGAAGAAAATAAAATAATAAATAGAAAACCTTTAATCAAGAGAGGACTTACGTGGTGATTGATAAACGTTGGGCTTTTAATTTCCACGTAGATTCCAACCCTCTCCGACTTCGGTGAAGCCAAGGCAATAGCTATGAATTCCTCGAAAGTTGGTATTTGAAGTTTACCTGGAGCAGCATTTCATGCGATCAACAAATCTTATACTTTGCAAACTTTGCAAACTACCATTGTAAGATTGGTCGCGATTAGGATATCGTTGGATCAAGCGCAGCGACTTTAATTCCTCCAGAGTGAAGTCCACTACACAAAAACACATCGATCACACAAGTTTGTAGAGATTACACACTCACCTGCGAAGTATCCAGTGACATTAACACCATCAACGACATACGTTTGCTTTCGACTCGCAAACTCGGGGTGATCATGCACGTCGGTAACGCTGTCCAAAATCAAGTCATGGAAGCAAATCAGCTTGCCATCCTTAGTTGCTGTTATATCAGCCTCAATAAAATCGGCCCCCTCTTCAATGGCACGCTAAATCAAACACCAACTTAGAACAATCAAAGCTGCAAAAGAGTAGAACACAATTACCTTGTATGCAAGCACGGATTCTTCCGGAAACTCCCCGCTAGAACCTCGGTGAGCGATGTTATATGGTTCATTCGTTTGAAAAGGGAATTGAAAAACACGGCAATCAGAACCCGCGAGTAGTAGTAACAGCAATAGAGAAACGTAAAACATCGTAGAACCCATGACGCTCTAGAATCGTTCTCTAAGGTTTTGGCCTCTTATAAAATCCCAGTCTCCAAATTCGGTTTGCCCTAATATGGGCACTCTGTTTTTAGGGTTGACAAGATGTTTAGGGCTAGGCAAGGGCAAAGGTGTCGGTGACACGTAGAGCAAACGCGTGCATACGCGGCGAGCATTACACGTGGCTTTCGCTCTTTATTACAATATAGTTTTGCCCTTGGCATTGCGATTGATCGATTTCATTTGAAGTGGTGCTTTTTAGGCGAGAACAAACGCGAGAGGAAGAGAGAAGCTATGGCGACTCAGCAGCAGCAACAGCAACCTCCCAGCTACGATCAAGCTCAATCGCGCGGCGGCAGCGATCCGTATGTGTCGTATCCACAGGTCTATCCCGGCGGTGGCGAGAAAGCGAAGCAATCCACGCAGTGGGAGGAGGCGCCGGTGATGGGCACTCCAGCGAACCCTAGCGCTCATCCGGGTAATCAGCAAGCAGCCATGTCCCAGCGCCCCGAATTGAAGGAAGGGAAGGGATTTGACGAGCCCGGAGTGGCGGGAAGCTATGTCTCGCCACAGGTCGGCGGAGGAGGAGGAGATCCCAATAGAGCCGGTGGCGGTGCTGGAAGTCCCTACGTCCAGACAGCATCCATCCCATCCACTCCAGGAAAGAGTAAGCGATCTCTCATAGTTTGATCTCTTCCTTTTTTGTTGGATCGATCGAGCCTTGTGATCGCAGGTCCCATGGAGTCTATCCTCGAGATCTTGAACAAATGGGGAAAGAAGGCCGAGGGCATGGCCGAGAACGTATGGAATCACTGTAAGTTCTTCCACAAGAGTCTAAAGTTCACAGTGATGTCTCTAGTGGATTTTCCTTCTAGTGGATCTTCCATGAACTTCATAGCTTACTTGCCAGTGAAGAAGCTCACAATTTTTAATCTTTTGCAACAGTGAAGGCCGGTCCTTCAATGACGGATACCGCGTGGGGGAAGCTCAGCCATGGCACCAAGGTCTTCACGGAAGGGGGATACGAGAACGTCTTCAAGCAAACTTTCGGTACCGAGGAGAACGAACGCCTCCGAAAGTCGTACGCGTGCTATCTCTCCACGTCTACGGGGCCGGTGCCGGGAGTTCTCTACATCTCCAACCGTAGAATCGCGTTTTCTAGCGATCGACCGCTCACGTATTATCCCTCGCCGGGACAGCAAGCCATGAGCTACTACAAGGTAAAGTCTCTTCCTTCGTTTCGAGTTTCTTAGTTCCTTCGCGTATTTCTTCCTTTGTTTCGAGTTTCTTATTTCACCCTGGCTTGTTTCTTCCTCTGTTTCGGGTTTCCTTCGCGCATTTCCTCCTTTCAAGTTTCTTAGTTTTCCATGGCAGTGTTTTACTTTTAAATCTTCCATTTTCCCTGGTTTTCTTTCGTTTAGATCTTTCATTTCTTATCTCTGTCCATTTTGCAGCTGGTCATACCTGTGGACAAGCTGAGGAGTGTCAATCCCTCGACCAATCCACAGAAACCCATGGAGAAGTATATCCAGCTCTCCACCGTTGACAACCATGAGTTTTGGTTCATGGGGTTTGTCAACTACGACAAAGGTGTGAAGAACTTGCAGCTGGTGTTGAACAATCCGAATGGGTCTTGGGATTCTTCCCCTAGACCACAGTACAATGCTTGAAAGCGTCTACCATTTGTATAAATCTGTATGTGATGTGAAATCTTTTAAAGCTTTGTGTGGACTGAACAAACCAAATTGTCAGAAGTGTGTGAGAATCTAAGCAGGGAAAAACATACCTTGTGTTTTTCGGATAATTCGGTCTAACAATATCTTTGGAATGATCATTTAATTCGGCACCATTATGTTCCACGCATTTGGAACTTCCCCTGGATGATATAAACATGCCGCAGGCATGAGCATTGCAACAAAATAAAAATCAGCTAAAAAGTGAAATCACTTACCTCATGGGGCTTATATTTCTCTTTCTTGTATTCCTTGTTTTTGTAAAGCAATGCTACGAGTCAGTAATCGAAGCTCAAGAAAAATGAAATGTTTGCTCACCGCTACGCGTCTCAAATGGCTCCTCCGCACAGATATCTAGGTGCTTCAAAGCGATGTACGTTCTCGGGGACTCCCTGGACGACACTGGGAACTTTGCATCCGGGCACGCCACCCAGTCCGTACGGTGTCACGAATCCCGGGTGTCCCAAAGGCCGATTCACCAACGGTGGCGTACTGGTGGATTTCATAGGTCATCTAGAGCAAAGAAAACAAAATGTCAGGGAGCCAAATGAACGCTGCAGCACAAGACCTTGGACGAAAACCAACAATTCCTTACCATAGCTGTTCTTGCGGGACGAGCTTTGCCTTCGTTGGAGGAACGGTGTTAGGCCTGGATTACTTCCACCAAAGGGGGGTACCTACTCTCGTGCCAGGATCGTTTGACAATGAAACTGCGTGGTTCGATTCTTACAGAAAAAACTGCTCCGGTATAGAGCTTGAGAAGAGCTTGGTCGTTGTCGGGGGTGGTGAACTCTGCAACAATAGACGAAAGTATACACCACTGGGTTGATCAATTGGTGAACAAGTTAGTCCAGGTAAATAGAACTTACAGTCTCGCTCACTCTTTCAAGATCATATGTTCTGTCTTTCCAGAATGCCTGTTGGTTCTTAATGTGCCTTCCACAGCCTGTACGCCAATTTATCTCGACACTATACCAGACATCAAAGGTTTGGATGACTATGGATGCTTGAAAGGATACGGAAAAGTTATAACCACTCACAACAAGAGGGCTGTTCAAATCGGAGGCGATTACCAAAGGAGCTACCGTCTTCATAGCCGACCGCTATAAGTTCCTGTATGACGTGCTGCGAGAGCCAGGAAAATATGATGAAACCATCTACTTTCAAGTTGTTTTGATTGAATTGTATGTACGCAGGATTTGAGAAAACTCACGAGGCTTGCTGCGGTGGTGATGGCCAACACAACGCAATTGTCGGGTGTGGTCACTCTGGATTTACTCTCTGCAGCAACGTCAGTCAGTATCTTTTCTTCGATCAATTTCACTTCACGGAGAGTTTCAATAGGCAGGAAGCAATGGCACTCGTCCACGAAAAAGAATACCTTGTTTCAAATCGTGGATCTCGATTATCTCTGGATGACTTATGTCGATAGTAGTCGTGATTCGTGCATTTGTGTAATGGAATCGCTGCACATAGTTCTAATTCGAAGTGCTTCGTCCAACATGCCAGCAGTAACATATATGTTAGCCATCGTCACATAAATCGAAGCACCAACATTACCAAGCTTCAACATGGACTCGAAGGCAAGCTGTCCGACTTCCACATTCTTCCACCGTTGAGAAGCATCCAGCAAACACGTCCATATTACATGATTTGGTTCGAATGGCATGCTCCTCACCAATGCCACTGCATCATTCAACTGATTAGTACGACCGTAGAGATCAACCATGCATGAGTAGTGCTGGATGCAAGGAGAAACCCCATACTCCGAGCTCATGACTGTGAAGAAATGCTTCCCTTTGTCGATAAGTCCGGCATGGCTGCAAGCGCTCAGAATCGAGAGGAAGATCACGTCGTCCGGCTGCAACCGCAGCTTCTTCATCCTCTCGAACAAATCAAGCACGCTGTCGGTGTCTCCTTGAGAGCTGTAACCTGCCATCATCGCACTCCAGGCAACTAAGTTCTTGTGGTTGCTAGGAACCGAAAAGAATACCTGCTCAGCTTCGGCCATGCTCCCGCACTTGCCAAAAAAATCGATGAGACAAGTCCAGACGAAGGTGTTGCTGTCCAATCCAGCTCGCTGAAGCTCCTTGTAAATCTCTCGTCCTTTCTCTAACGCTCCCAAGCTTGCGCAGGCCTTAAGAGCAGCCACGAATGTCACCGCGTCCGCTACAAGCCCCTCTCCTCTCATGCGTGTAAAAAGTCGTAGAGCCTGCTCGCTTTCCCCGACCTGGACGTAGCTCTGAATAATCGCTGTCCACGAGACCGAATCACGATCCGTCATGCCGTCAAAAACACGTCGTGCTTCCTCCACACTCCCACACTTCGCGTACATGTCGACGAGAGCATTTGACACGAAGAGGTCCCGTCCGAGACCATCTGCGGCAGCTTGCGAGTGAATACCTCTACCAATCTCGAGCCACTTTCTCTTGAGCACCTTGTCCTCGGACTCTCGCCCATGAACCGGCTTGCTACTGTCACCACCATCACCACTTGCTCTCTCGGCCAAGCTCACGCAAGCCTTGAGCGCAGCTAGATAAGTCACAGCATTTGGCACGTATCCGTCACCTCGCATTCTCGAGTATAAATCCAAGCTGAGCTCGCCTTGCCCGCACCGTGCGTAGCCCAGAATCAACGAGCTCCACGAAACCACGCTTGGTTTCCTCAAAGCGTCGAACACCCGCCTTGCATCCTCCATACTTCCACACTTCGAGTACATGTCCACCAAGGCGTTTCCCACGAATTTTTCCAGCTCGTAGCCACCTTTTAGTGCTTGACCATGCACTTGTCTGCCTCTTCTTAGACAACCACTGAGAGAACTCCTCCACTGCTCACTTGATTCTCCCAAAGAAGCGCAGGCTTTTAACGCTGCGAGAACCGTGACCCGGTCGGGATCGCAGCCTTCTTCTTGCATGGCAGCGTAGAACTCCAGCGCCAAGTCTGCTTGCCCGGTCTCGGCAAATCCCAAGATCACCGCAGTCCAAGAGACTGCATTCCTGGAATCCATGCTCTCGAAGACGAGCTGGGCGTCCACCAAGCTCCCACACTTGGCGTAAGAATCCGTCAAAGAACTGGCCAGAAATATTTCTGAGAGTTCCCCGAATCTGGCAGCCCGAGCGTGGATGTCCTGGATTCTAGCCAAGAATCTAGCTCTGGAGCCACGGCCCCTGGATCGCTCGATCAAGCTCGAGCAAGCCTTGAGCGCTGCAAGAAATGTGACATGATCCGGACGGCACGACGAATCACTGCCTCCCCCTTCCTGGACAAACCGATCGAAATATCCCAGCGCGGCATCACCATCGCCGTTGAGCGCCAGTCCCTGGATGATGCAGTTCCAAGAAACCACGTCGCGCTGCCGGATGCTCTCGAAGACGCCGCGAGCCTCCATCGCGCTGCCGCATTTCGCGTACATATCGATCAGCGAGCTCGCGATGGCCGGGTGCGCGTCCAAATCCCCGTTCTTGGCCGCGTCCCTGTGAATCATCCTACCTGATTCCAGGTCCCTGGAGCGCTTGCATGCCTTGATCGCTGCCAGGACGGCTCCCACGCCGGGATTCACTCCCTGATCGCGAGCGCTGTGACAGACCGCGATAGATTTCTCCATCCCGGATCCATAAACCCTAAAATGCGCCACTCGGTATATCCTCCATCCAGTTGAAAGAAGGTATATCCAGTTTTATAAGGTTTAGACGAGGGTTATTTGATCAGCTCGTGGAAATTTTGACGCATCGAGGAGCGCCATGGTCTCCAGAGTAAGCCATCGATCCCAAATTTCGATTCCAGGCTAGATTTCTCTCCAAATCTCTTCCATCACTGGTGATCTGAGGGTTTTTGCTTCGATTTTCCAGCAGCGCAGCGCCGGCATCCCCTCTAGCCCTAATTCGCCAGCTCCGGAACAGCCATTTCTATCCATCTCTGTCACCGATCCGGTGAAGCTCGGTAACAATGTACAAGCCTACATTTCTTATCGGGTCAGCACCAAGGTGTGTGAGTTTTAAGCTTGTTATGTGTTCTTCCCGGAGAGATCATCTTTTTCTTTCTTTTTTCCTTTCAGACTAACATGCAAGAGTATCGGGGCTTGGAGAAGATTGTCATTCGTAGATACAGCGATTTTGTGTGGCTACACGAGCGATTAACTGAGAGATACAAGGGCATTATCATTCCTCCGCTTCCAGAGAAAAGTGCAGTAGGTGAGTGAGCAAGAAAGTATTTTTCTTTTGCTCTTTCTTACTTACACTTTGTTTGACTGTGCAGAGAAGTTTCGATTTAGCGCCGAGTTTATCGAGGTCAGACGACGAGCTCTAGACGTGTTTCTGAATCGGATTGCTGCACATCCGATTCTTCGTCAAAGTGACGACTTGAAAAGCTTTCTGCAAGCCGATGAAGACAGTTGGGTTAGTGAGTTTGCTAGATTTCTATGCAGTGCAGTAATTTTATGTTCCAGGTTGTTGAGAAATCAAGAACAGCTGAGGGGGTTTTCAAAAAGAAACCCAGCGATTTCATGCAAATATTCAAGGTAGAGCTGCCAAGTTCTGGTTTTACATGCCATCCTCATTGTTATGGTTTCAACAGGATGTACAATCCAAAGTCACGGACGTTGTGTTGGGTAAAGAAAAACCCCTGGAAGAGACGAGCGAGGAGTATGAAAAGGTCAAGCACTATGTCACAGAACTTGAAGATCATCTTGGCGAGGCACAGAAGCAGTCGTATCGTCTGGTGAAGCGTCATAGCGGTCAGCAATTTTATTTTCATCGTGATATCATCTCTTAACTTACTTCCACTTTAGAGTTGGGACAAGCCTTGGCTGAGTTTGGCAAATCGGTGAAGTCCCTTGGAGGCTGTGAAACGGGACTTCTTGGCAAAGCCTTCGGAGAACTTGGCAACCGTGCGGAGTTACTTTCCTACAAGCTACAAAAACAGGTATTCTGCTTTCCATATCTCCTTGTGAAATGCTTATCGGTCATTTCATCCAGGCGCAAGATCTGCTCATGAACTTTGAGGAGCCGCTCAAAGAGTACGTCCGAACTGTCCAGTCTATCAAAGTAAGATAACGTCTTTTCTAAAAAAGAATGCTAAAGGGGTGTTTCTTGTGTAGGCGGTGCTGAGTGATAGAGCGCAAGCCTTCAGGCAACAACGTGAGCTCTTTGAAGCATCAAAGCTGAAAGAGATCAACCTGTAAGTGACCCATGCTCTGTATTTCCAGTCGACTTATCCAGCTTCCTCGTCTTGTCAGGGAAAAGCTAAGAGTAGTGCGGCCTGACAAAGTAGGGGAGGCCGAGATCGACTACAGAGAGGTATGTTCGCATCGATCGTTGTTGTCTTGCACGAATGACACTTTGCTTCACAGACGAAACTTCAAAGCGACGAAGCAAACAGGCGCTACGAAGAGATCGTCAAGGTGATGCAGCAGGAAATGGTGAGGTTCCAGGAAGAAAAGACTCGAGACTTGGGTGCCGTCTTTCACGAGTTTGCTCGCGGCCAGGCCCAGCTAGCCAACGACACAGCCGAGGCTTGGAAGGTTTTGGCATCGCAACTGGACGCCTGGTCGCATCAAAGCGCTGGAAAGGCCGTAGAGTCGTCCGCTTGAGACGAACAACGCACTCTCGTGTTGTAAAAATTTACAGGCGAAGAGAATATCATCCTTCCAGGTGTGCTAGAATGCTTCTTCTTTCCTGTTGTTATTTTCGCTCGCTAGCCATGTACGTAAGAGCCAAGCGCGCTCGTCACGAGAGAGCGTGCCAGCCACAGCAATCCAGGATCATTGGTCTTGAGCACAAAGCTTGACATCGCTGCTTCTTCGGCAAATCCAACCATTTTAAGCAGCTCAATCGCTCCTGTAAAAACAAAACTAAGGACACTCGAAGACCATACAAGCTTTAGACTGATTACCGGCAAACTTTGCAACACGCTCCTGGAAGACGGGATTGTTCTGCCATGGAACAGCACACGTTAGCAACAAAAACGAAGAAAGTATCGCTTTCATTCACTCGCCTTCTTTATACGCCGGTACTTCTCTTCGTTTGGATGCTCCATGACGTTACTGAACAAGCAAGAGCATAGTGAGAAAACAAATGAGAAACCAAAGCTAAACCTTAAGATTTTCACAAGAGTTTGGAAAGCCATGGCCGCTTCCAAGGGAGTAGCCTGACGAGTAAGCATCGCGATCGAGTCCTCGAGCCGGGAACTAGCAGCAGCTGCTGCGGCATTGATTCGTTTGATCTCCATGTCCAGTTCTCCCATCTCCATCACTTCCACGTCTCTCTGAAACGGACTTCCATGCCTGAGATCGTCGTCTGGATCCGGTTCTTTGTGATCTTCTGGAAGTTTAGTTCTTTTATTGTCTCCGTATGCTTCTTGATCGTCTGGATCATTGTCGTCTGGATCTGGTTCTCTGTAATCTTTTAGAGTTTCCTTCTCGTCCGGGTCTGGTTCTCTGTAATCTTTTAGAGTTTCCTTCTCGTCCGGGTCTGGTTCCCCGTGATGTTCGTTCTCGTCTGGATCTGGTTCTCTGTGACTTTCCTTCTCATCCGGGTCTGGTTCCCAGGTTTCTGTTCTATATGCGTGCGGTTCGTCTGGATCTGGTTCACTCTCGTAAGCTTGAGTTTCATCGGGATCCGGTTCACCATCAGGAAATTCTTTGTTATAAGTTTCTTGGTCGTCAGGATCTGGTTCTTCGCTTACTTTATCATCTGGTTTTGAGCTTTCGGCATTTTCTTTCAGTCTGTTCAATGCTGCGTTGGCTGCTGCTACCTTGACATTCAAAACGGAAGATGAACCTCCACCGAGGCGGTGGCCTTTGCGCAAGACCTCTGAATTATCCTCAATACTATCTGGAACTTGGTGTTTCATGCCGCTTAGACTTTGGCCTCGCGATCTTGTCCAGTCAAGCTCAAGCGACTCTTTGTTAAGCTGAAACAAGAAGGATAAGCAATGAGATTGAACCAAAGGAGAAATGTTTACCAGTTTGTCCAGTTGATGGAAATTCTCATCGTGTTCATCATGTACCATATGCGCCTGAACATAGAACACAGAAGGGTGTTTGTCGGTTGCATATCACAGAAGATCAAGTTTATCTCACCAGTTCATGAAGTAAAGTCTTTCTTATGGATTCATACTTCCGAAAACCCTTCAAGTCATCTGTTCGAAGACGTAGAGAGATCTCTTCTCCGCGATTCTGCAAAACTATGGAGCTCAACAACAGGTTCATCGCATGCTTTCGAATTACCTTGTTGAATCCGAGAAGACACTTGGGACTGATTCCGACCAATCCCTCGGGTGCCATTTCACTAAAAACTCCCACTCGCCATCGATACTGAAAACAAAGTAAAGATCAATCCTTCCGAAGGCATAGAAAAATGCACCTTGTTCATTATGGCGATGATGCCTCTGTCACTAGCCAAGGCATGCAAGAGCTCGAGAGCTTTCGGAGGTGGTGGAGTCATCTACGAACACCAGCACAAAAATTCCGCGACAATCCATCAAAAACAAAGTACCTGTACGCCAGGAAGATGAAGAGTTTTAAAGTCTTGAAACGTATAGGGGCCGGCAGGGAGTTTTCCCGTAGCAGAAGCCGAGGAAGCTCGTCGCCGAGCTCGTTCCTCCTCTTCCTCAAATCCAAGGCTTCTAGTGTCCTTCTGTAAAGCTCCCGAGACTTCCACCGTCTCGTGAGGGAGTGCTCCCATCACACGTAAAACCTTTCCCTGGAAAGCGAACAATAGAAGCTTTGTAAGCATGGAGGAAGCCAGCGAGCGAACGAAAGAAAAAAAGAGAAACCTCTTCGATCCCACACTCTCCAAGAGATAGCATGGCGCATTCCTCGCTGAAGGGCTCCAGCGCTCCACGGGCACCTCGAGGAACCAGCAGCTTCATTGTCTGCGGGGAAATCCCAGTAGCCGACTGTAGCTCCTGCCCCAATTCCCGCAGCGTCGAGCTCGCCGTGATCGCCAGCACGAATTCCTTTCCTCGGTACGTGAACCTCAAGCGCTGCTGCCGCGGCGCCGCCTCTCGATCCACCTCCATCTCCATCGCCACTGGACCCAAACCTTCCCTTATGCTGGGCCGTCGGATGCGCTTCTCGCATCGCCCGCCACGTGTATCAAATCGTCACCGTCGCGGTCGGACGAATATGCCAGATTTGAAAGTATAACGTGGGCCGCCGCGTTGCCAGGATCTAGCTCGAGAACTTTCACCGCCGCCCTCTTCCCCGCCTCTTCGTTGCCACGGACCTTGCTAGCGCCCAGGAGCGTGATCCAAAGCACGGAACTCCCGGAGAAATCCGAGCTCGCGACGAGCATCTCGGCCTCCTGGAGCTGCCCGGCCCGGCCGAGGAGATCAATCACGCAGCCGTAGAGCTCCAGCGAGCGCCACTGGACCCCAAAGTCACTGGCGGTAGAGGCGAAGATCTGGAGGCCGCGATGGAGGAGCCCGGCGTGGCTGCAAGCCGAGAGGACGCTCACGAGCGTGACTTCGTCCGGAGAGCCGCCGCCGTCGAGGAGCATGGCTTCGAAGAGGCCGAGAGCTCGAGCGGAGTGGCCGTGACGAGCGAACGCCGCCACCATCGTCGTCCAGAGAACCGTGTCCTTGTTCTTCCCAAGTTTGTGGAAGAACTCGCTGGCGTCGTCCAGGCTTCCACACCTCGCGAGCATGTCCACCATCGCCGCCTGGACGAATCCATCCTCTTCCACGAGTGATTCCGGGATGGAAGAGATCACAAGCTTACCGTCGGCAAGGCTCCGGCACGAGTTGAGCGCCAGGATGATCGTGGAAACACTCGGCTGGATCATCTGCTCCAGCTTCACCATCCGGTGGAAGAGCTCCAGCGCCGCTCGCGGCTTTCCCTGCGCGGCGTAAGCTCCCATCATCGCATTCCACGAGCTCTCGATCTTCCGCGGGAGTGCCTCGAAGATCTCCAAGGCTTGTGGCAGTCCTCCACACCTTCCATACGCAGTGATGAGCGTGTTCTTCACCTCGCTATCCTGCTCGAATCCACTCTCTCTCACGCAAGAGTGGACGAGCTTCGCTTCCCCGACGCTGCCACAAAGTCCGAGCACGGTGAGAAGCGTCACTCTGCTCGGTGCCATACCTTCTTGCTGCATTCTCTGGAAGAATCCCATGGCGGCCTCCGGGGAAGAGTGATCGTTGAGAGATGCAATCATGGTGTTCCAAGTTACGTTGTCTCGAGCTGGCAAGGCCTCGAAGATCTCCAACGCCGCCTCCAGCTTCCCGCAGCGTCCATAGAAAGTGATGAGCGCAGTGTCGAGCATCAAGTCGGACGCAAACCCGGAGCTGGCGATCTGCTGGTGGATCCGGCTGCCTTGCTCCAGATCTTTCAAGCTCGCACAGACATCGATGACGGTGTTGAGCGTGAGCCTGTCCGGTTTCACACCTTCGAGCATCATCTCGCGGTACAAAACCAGCGCTTGCTCCTGCCGGGAGCAGCGAGAGTACGCCGCGAGCAGGCAGTTCCACGACGAGACGTCGCGAGCTTCGATTTGCGAGAACACTTCCTGCGCTTGCTGGGCGTCTCCCCACCTAGCGTACATGTTCACGAGGCTCGTTCCAACGCCGACGTCCGACTCGAGTCCCCTCTCTCGGATCAAACCGTGAAGAACTCCTCCAACTTGGCGAGCTTCCGGATGATCCTTGCAAGCTCGCAAGACGGCCATGAAAGTCATCTTGCTCGGCCTGTCACCCTCGAGATCCATCCTCTTGAGCAGCTCGAATGCCCGATCGAGCTTGCCGAAGTGAGACAGAGAAGCGATCATCACTGTCCAGAGCTCCACGTCCCGAGATTCGATCTTCTCCATCACCTTCCAGGCCTCGTCCAAGCTCCCACACTTCCCATACATCTTGATCAACGAAGTAGCCAGCGATGGCGCTATGGACTCCTGGAATCCAGCCTCCTCCAAGAGCCTGTGGAGTTTCTTCCCTTGATCCAAAGAAGCCGGCCTCGAGCAAGCGTGAAGAAGCGCGATAAACGTACCCTCGCTTGGCCGGACGCCTTCCAGGAGAGATTTCTTGAAGAGGAGCAGTGCCTCGTTGATCCAGCCCCTCCTCACGTACGCGGAGATCATCACTGTCCAGCACTCTCCATTCCTCTCCACCGCCATGGAATCGAAGAGCTTGCGAGCGCTTTCGACGCTTCCACACCTCACATACATCCCCAGCAGCGCCACTCCAACTCTCTTCCTCTTCGATTCCACCAGGTTGAGGCAGCTCGCGACGCAGTGGATTCTCTCCCCGGCCTCGAGCATTCTGGGAGAGGAGAGGCGATTGAGAGCGGCCACGATCAAGCTCTCGCTCGGCACACTCTCTTCCTCCTCCAGGCACGTCTCCTCGATCATCCTCACGGCTTCCTCGCATCGACCTTGCTCCAAGTACTTTAGAATCAAGGAGTTCCATGGAACCCACCTCTCGACGCCATCCTTCTTGGAAGCCCCGATAGCATCCTTCGATCGCTCCTCCTGGACGAAATCGGGGATTTGTCCTTGACAGATTCCACTCGCCCTGGAAGGAAATCGTCCAAGAACATCGATATTTCCACTGCTGCCACGATTTTCTTCCTTGCCTCTGTGAACTCTACCGAAAAAATGCCTCCCACAGCTATGATCTATCATCACTGGGCACCTTCCATTTTAGGGTTCTTCGCTCCAAGGAAAGGGTTTAAGGGGTTTAAGACAGAAATGTTTTAGGGTCTTCATGCTCGCCCTGGGCAGCCGATTTCTTCGTCCCGGTCTTCGTTTACAGTGCGGATCTGGTCCTCAGCATCGGCATTGCATTGCGACTACGGTGAGTTTGAGATACGGCTCGACCGCTTTCGATTGATCTCGTCTCTCTGACAGGCGAGCATGGTTTCCAAGCCATTTGTGTGGACTCCAAATTTTATTCCAGTGGAACACGACGACATTTCAGAGTTTCCAGAGAGTAAGAAGAGAGAACGAAGAAAACGATCGCATTGTCACGAATTTTGATTTTGCAGCTGGAAGCTTTCGAGTGGTTTCATACAACATTCTTGCACAAGTAGTGATTTAAATCTTTTTTCTTAGCTTCGATCGATCGAAACGTTTTGTGTTCTTGTTCTTTTGCAGGTCTATGTGAAGAGTTCGCTGTTCCCTCATTCGCCATCCTTGTGTTTGAAGTAAGTTTCTCATCATTTTCTTGTCAAGTTTTTGCATCGCCGAGCATTTCTTTCGAAGGTGGAAGACGCGCTCAGAGCAAGTTCTATCGCGTCTTTTGTCTCTGGACGCTGATCTCCTTTGTCTCCAGGTTTGCGTTCGTTTATTCTGTAAGCTCAAAGCCTCCCTCTTCGTTTTCTTTGCAGGAGCTAGACGAATTTGAGAGCTTCTACAAGCCTCTCCTTGAAAGCAAAGGCTACTCTAGCATCTACGTACAGAGAAGTGGCAAGAAACGCGATGGCTGCGGCATCATCTACAAGGCCAAATGGTTAGCCTCGGATTGATTTTGCGAGGTTTGTTTGATATTTCATTCTACTCAGGTGCCAGCTGCTAAAACAACAGTTTCTCGACTATAACGACATCGCGCCTGATGAAACCACAGCCGGAAGAGCGTCGGAATCCGTCGGTATATATCCACACACGCCGATGTATTGTCTCTGATTTCTCAGTTCCAGAGGAAGAGAACAACAGAGATGTGAGCGATCCACGCGTGCGCTTTCGAAGGAACTGTGTTGGAATTTTTTCGGCCTTTCGCTTCAATCACGCGCCTAGTAACATTGTTGTGATTGCAAACACGCACCTATACTGGTAAGATAGTTCTGCCGAGTTCTTTATATCCTTTTTCTTTCCCAGGGATCCAGCGCTGCAAGACGTGAAACTCGCACAAGCCAAGTACCTGCTTGCAAAGCTCTTGCAGTTCGAGAAGGAGATATCTCAAGAATTCAACTCCAATCCTGTCGTTCTAGTCGCAGGGGATTTCAACTCCACTCCGGGTGATCGGGTAAAGTCTTTCATTCAAAGCTTGGAAAATGGAACAAATGCCGTCTTCTCTCTTCTCAGGTGTACAACTATATCACCTCCGGGCGTCGCAACTCCGGCCCCGACGTCGAGCTCTCTAGTTTCAAGGTGCCCGACTTGGAGAGCTTGAAAGTCCCAGCGATCCCACTCGACAGCCTGTACGCCGCTGCACAAGGCGAGCCAGCGTTCACGAACTGCACCCCGGATTTCACAGGAACTCTGGACTACATCTTCTTCAGTCCCTCGGCGTCCATGAGACCAAAGACGATCTTAGAGGTGCCTCGGCCGGATGCTCCAGACGTCAAGGGAGGGCTCCCAAACCATTTCCACCCCAGCGATCATCTTCCCATAGGAGCGGACTTCAGCCTCTCGTGAAGAAGCAGCTCGTCCAGCAAACCAAAGCTTATCTTCGCTCCTTGAAGAACGGGTGTCTTAGAGCTTCTTTCGCTGTCAGCCGATCGGAGGCTCCATATCTAAGGAGACCCTCGAGCAAGTCTGTCAAGGAACTGGCAGAGTGCTCGACATGCAGTTGTACAAGCTCCTATTGAGGGAAAAACACAGACATGAACGGGAAGGAGTTTTTATTTTTCAATGTGTACACTACCTTGAGCCGTGGTAACCTTTTCACTGTCCGGATACTCTCGAGAGAAGAGGCTGCATCGGGCCAGTTTAGTTCCCTCCCGTTTTTGAAGTACTTCTGAGCTTTTCTACTGTAGAAAGCACCGTGGGATGAGCCACAAGGTTTATAGATCCAGTACAAATCCGACTTACTCTACGTTATCGATTATGCGTCTGGGAATGGGACCGAGAATTCTTTCCATCATTGCCAGGTGCTCGAGATTTTCGTGAGTCTGAAACAATGGATCTCCCTGGAAGCAGCCAAGAAATATGAGATTAATGGACTTTGCAGTTTTCTTACCGAGAAAAGCTCCACTAAGATGCAACCAACGCTCCACAAATCACACGCGTACGACCATCCAAGGCCTAGAAAATATGTATTGTCAAGATAACACTTAAGCAAAAGAAACACCCAACGTACCCAGGATGATCTCGGGTGCTCTATATTGCCTTGTAGACACTATGGACGAGTGGTGCTGGTTTTCAAACGTCGCACTCCCAAAATCTATCAGCCTTATTTCAGCTGATGTCGGTGTCCTGGTTAAGTGTTTATCCAGTCGAGCAGACTGTAACGGAAAAAGTGTTAATATTACTAGAAACGATCTAACAAAATGCACTACCTTGTAGTCGAGTGTCTTCACGTATGCCGAAGAGACCAGCAGTATGTTCTCCGGTTTTAAATCAGTATGAATCAAAGATAGCTCATGTAAGTCTATTAAAACAGGAAGCAAACAACAGTGCATCAATAACACGGGAGCTATAAACGAAAACATCAAACGCGGCATACATGCTACAGAATTCAAAAGCTGCCAGCCGACATGTTCTATCGAGAATGGCCGGTAGCTATTCTTTTTCAGGAAATCGTACAGGCTTGGTCCAAGCTTTTCCGACACCTAAGTTCGCCAGTAAGTTTAGATGATGGTAAGGAAAATAAAATAAAATCGAGAAACTTACGATGCAGACATGATTCCGGTAATCGAACCACTCTTTCATCTGAAGACAGCCACTGCAAACAAAGGCTAAGAACTTTATGATGCTTAGTTGCAAGCTTTACCGTTTGCCATTCTTGTCATGCTTTTGAAGTGCTTTTAGAACGTCAATTTCAATCAGAGTGGCTTCTCTGTATTTTGGGACGTTTCTTATAACTTTAATGGCCACAAACTCCTGATACTTCCGGCTTTGATTTACTACTAAATTGCTCTCTATGGACTTCGAAGTTCCTACCATGAGTATAATTCCTTCTTTAGTTTACTTCAAATTTGTGTCATTGAAACTTTTTCTTCTAGGTTTACTAGAAGACGTGGAAGAAAAGGAGGTGGATGGCCTTTCATCCAATTTTAGTGATTCGAACTGTGATTCAGGTGTGGATAATGATAATGATGCTCTCCTAAAGGTTTGTTTAGTTTCCAGTCTCTTAGATTCATGATTTGCGATATTTCTAGGCCTTCTATAATTTTTTGCGATTGAGGGGATTTAGTAGTCCAGCTGCATTTAGCACCTAGATACACCTAAAGATCCTCAAGACTAAGACTATTGTTTACCTTGCATGCTATCTTAGAATTTCCAAGCCAACACTGTACAAATACATGTGGCTTGTTGATCCAAATTGGAGAAGTGTATATTACAGAGTACCACCTGAAAAGGTACTTTATCACATTCAGACTAACAATGCCATGAATCGAGGTGGCACAAATTGAGGGATTATCAATTCTTTATCTAGTTGTCAAACTAGAGGATATTAGTTTAGCTGACACCAAATTTGTCAAGCCTTAACCACTCACAATCTAACTAGGCTGGAATAGAGGCACATGACAAGGATTTGACGATGGATTTATAAGAATGAGAAGGTTTATACACTTTGCTATATGGATTGTGAGTATTCTTTCATTTTTGCTTTTTTGTCAGCATATGTGGTAACATGTTTATTGTAGTATATTGCAAGCTTGTAAGCTATGGTTTCTATGTATATGCCATTATTTGTAGGGCAACTCATTATATTGTAGCTTGTGAGCTAGCTACCTCCAAAGAATCCCATGCAATATTCAACATATGTGCGTAGGCTGTTTGTCAATTTGGAAGGCTCAAGCGCATTCGGAGCAACAATGCTTTAGAGCACAATGAGGTTGAGAGGGACATGATTTGCTGTTTTCGTCCTGTAGCTAAGAGCTTCATACGTGGGACATCAACACGTAACTAGGTACTCACAATGTTAGAGTTTTTTCAAATAAAAACTAAATCAAATTTGTTTTACAGCACATAGTGCATTTGTGGAGAGAGTTCTTTGAGTGCATGGTATGGTTTTATAAGCACCTTTTTAGTCCATGGAAGACATAGAAATTCTCAATGTATCTAATCCATGGCACAACTAGAGTCTACATTGTGTCTTTGCTCCGCACCTCAAGAAGGATATTTCACACTGGGTTGCAACCTAGAACTTCTATGATGTCCGTCCGTATCAATGTGGTAATTATTTTAGACCATCTTATGTTCTTGCAAATTTATTTCAACTGATGGAACGAGAGCTTGGGTAAAAATTTTCGTAATGTTACAGAATTCTTTATAAATTATGCTTTTGTAAGATTATATCGGCTGTTGGTGAAAAAGATATTGAAGACATACCGGGACCTTTTCTCTCCAATGTTGAAGGTGCAACTCTGTCAAAGGTAATCTTTAGAGCAAGAATAGAACAATTTCTTTTAATCTATTTCATTGTGCTTGGCTACCTTATAAGCTCTTGGCACTGTTTAAAACCAAGCATTTTTTATGCATCGGGAGGGACTCAATTTGGATGAGTAATATTTACTTTATTTGGATCTAACAATGGAGTGTGCAATGGCTAATATTACGGGTGTAAATCTACCACTACATCGAGAGTGCTTTGCTTACAGCAACACCAGTGAAGCGACGAGCTTTGGAAAAATTATACTTGGCCATACTCGGAGAAAATTGAGTGTTCTTTAGTGTACATTTCAAATTTAAATTTAATTCTTGATTTCCTCAATTTTAGGGTTCCCACATTCGGGATTAGGGTTTACACCAAGTCCCAAATGTGCCTTGGATACAAGGCAATTTCATTTTATGACATGATTTTGTCGATGGTTTGTTCATTTTTCCAATCGATTCGCATCATCTAATCAGAGGCAAGGCTTCTAGTGCACACTCCCCTAATTGCAAGACCACCACCCAAGCAAGAGCGCCACAGCTACGATGGTGGGTAGCTTCTCCTCGATTAGGTTTGCATAACCAATCCCTTGTGGTTTCCATGCTCGAAGGAAGAACATTGCACGCCTCAACAGTAGTAGACACTATGCAGGAAACACTTCAGAAGCATGCACCCAAGCACTTGATGTTCTGCAATCAGTACAGCCAACAATCTCGTGAGACACACGCTAGCCACTTGATTTTCCAAACTCCGCAGCAGGGACATCAACTCCAACAACATCCCATCCACAGCTCCTGACTGCATTTGAGCAAGCAGAGTGCCACCTAACATTGCATACACTGCAACATATATGGAACCTCCAACATGTTTCGTTCTCTTCACCTTCCTTGGAAAGCAGCAGCCTAAGCATCTGAAATGAGCAAGTCCGAATGCCTCATGCCCATGGTGTTATTCAATCTGGAATGCTACCACCAACACCAACTACAAGACGTGCTCACGGAAGCCCATATAGTGCCACTACTACCAGCCCCACAACTCCACTAGCCACTACAATTCTCGCAACTCCATCTACCAATACAAGTGCTAGTATCTGGCCATCTACCTCCCGAAGCAACAAGCAGTCTAGTTCGGTAAGTTTTTCATTTATACCCGTCTTTTTTCCATGTGTTTTTCTGAGTAGGGTGAGTTGGCAATGCCACCACACCAGCGAGCTCATAGTTCCCCATCAGCATTCCACAACTACTCCCAAAGATCAACATCATCATCTAGTGGAGCTTCGATATCTAGATATATTCAAAGTAAACCCTCAGGGGGGGTTGCCATGTGAGACACAGGTATACATGACCTTATGCACTCTTCAAATTTTTTTTCTTTAGATTTGTTTGACTCATTTTTGTTTCACTGTGCTAGACTCTCTCACCGCTTGTAGCTGCATTGCACACCTATACCGATAACAATCGACAGTCTTTATTTTGTCATCGTGGATGTCATGGCAGTCGATCCAAAGTCATTGGTGGAATGTCTTCTATGACACCCTTGGTCGCTCAGCTGTTCACCACAGTCTTTGTCACCAAGTGGATTGCAATCCCGAAGACTTGGCATGTACACTTGTATAGGTAGAAAAAAGAGCCATCTATGAAGGTGACGAAACTTGATGAGCTAGCAGTGGACCTCCAAGAGTGTCTTATATGAGATGGCTTATACTCCAGTATTCGTTTCCAACCCGGCACGGCCCAACATGTGATTCTACTATTACTTCAAGCCTCAGGAATCCAACCTTAATCCATGAACAACCTAGGAGCATTTGTCTGGTGTGCAAGGCAATCCAATAGTGGTGAGGCCTATGCCGAGTCTGCAAAATTTGGCCTCAACTCTATCCGGCCTTGCTACTGGACTCCTCAAACATCATAGGGAGCTATAGCAAACAAGGCCAATGGCAACTGGGCAATAGTAATATACCTATACAATGTTATGGAACATCTTATTGACAAACATTGGCTAAGTTATCAAAAGCAAGCCTGAGCACTCGAGGAGAAGGATGTTCATGAATGTAAGTCATTATTTTTTTTAAGTTCCCTCATAAATATATGTTATAGTCTTTGCAGTTGTGGCTGCTACAAATATCTTGACTGCAAATGATGATCCCTTGGTGATAGAGCCATTTCTCCCAAGGCTAACCACGTAGGAACCAAACCAAGATGAGATTAATGAAGAAGAAGACTCTACGGATGAAGAGGACATTCTTCCATTATCAAAAGAAACTCTCCCCACATAAGACAATATGAACATCACTGAAGTAAAAGAACA